CCCCCCCCCCCCCCCCCCCCTTTCCCCCCCCCCCCGCGCCCGGCCTTCTAATTTTTTTTTTTAATTATTTTTATTATTATTATTTTTTAAATTTTTTTTTTTTAATATAATTTGCTTCTTCTTCGGCGATGGATGGGAAAATCCGGCAGAGCCGGAGGTCGAGGTCGCAGCGGGACCGCGTGCGGCGGCGGGAGGCGGCGGCCCGCGACCCGCGGAACCAGAGCCCGTCGTCGGGCTCCGAGAAGGAGCCGAGCCCCGGCAAGGAGAACGGCGGCCAGAACTGCACCGCCCCGCGGGGCCCGCCACCCGCCGCCCGCGCCGCGCGGCCCCCGCGCCGCCGCCGCCGCGAGTCCAGCTCCCAGGAAGAGGATCTGATCGATGGCTTCGCCATCGCCAGCTTCAACACCCTGGAAGCGCTGGAGGTGAGAGCGGCGTGGGGGGGACACGGGGGGCTCTGCCCTCCCCGCGGAGGGCGTGGGGTTGGCGGATGGTTTGAGGTGGCGGGGCGGGAGGATGGAAGGAGAAGAGGAGGGGAAAAAAAATTTAAAAAAAAAAAAAAATCGAGAAAGGGAGCGCGCGGCGCTGCTTTCGGGGCTGCTGAATTTTGCAAATGGCAATTAAGGTGCATTAATCCTGGTGTCAAGCCCCGTCCCCCCCTCCCCCCCGGGGGGATCCCGGGGCGGCCCCGGTGCTCGCGGCTCCCGCTGCCAACTTGGTGCCCCCCTCCCTTTTGCTCCTTCCCTCCCCCCCGGCCCCCTCCTCTCCCCGGCTCCGGCCGGTGTTTCGCCTTCACTTCGGGCAAAGTCAAATGTTTGTTTGGGGTTTTAATTGGCTGCAGAATATTCCTGGCGTGTTGGGATGGTCCGGCATTGTTGTGAATGGTGGAGCTTCCCCCCCCCCCTCCCGCCCTCCTTCCTCCTACTCCCCCCTCCTCCAGCTCGGGAGTTTGTGTTTGCATTGCCAAAATGTTACTTTATCTGTCTCCGGAGATTGTTAGCAAATGGCTAGTGTTTGACATTTTGTGGAAAAGAGATGTTTAAATGGATAATAATCCCTCGGTTGTAATTCCCATTTTTGAAGTAATTGAACAAATTCTTCATCTCTTGTTGACTGTACATATTTTTCTGGTGTTAATAGGCTGGCAAAAAATATTGCTTGTCTAACTTATTACAAACAATATTTGCTGAGCAAATACTGCCTGCCTTGTCTGAGCTAAGTTAAGCAGAGCAGGAAATTTAATATTTTCAGAGGGGCATTGACAAACTGTGAGTTTGGCTTTTGATTTTGGTTTTGTTTGTGTGCAAGGGGAAGAAGTGAGTTGTCGAGAGGAAGCATCTAACAAGTTGCTTGGTGGGTGTTATAAGTTGAATTCCCAGTAAATATGAGCAATCCTGGTGCCTTTGCCCACTTTCCTTGACACACTGTGATAAAAACGTGGGCAAAGTTTTGGGTGCTCTCCCTACCTTGGATTTCCTGCCACTTGTGTGTCTGTAAACCTGCCTTAAACAGTGGTGAGGAGTTCCTGCTCAGGCTAATGAACAGTCTCAGATTTGCCCTGGGATCTCTAATGCTGTTGGCTCAGACTTTGAGGTCCCATTTTGTCTGTTGGCTTTGGTGCTCCCCAGCCCACCCCTCCTGCCCTGCAGGCCTCTGGTGGCATCGTGGTTATCCGGAGCTTTTCACCCACAGAACCAACTTCTCAGAGTCCCAGAGATGGTCCCTCTGTGCCCACAGGGATGTCAGCGATGGCCTTGGCCATCTGCTGACGTGTCAGGACCCTTGCCTGTGTGGAGCCAGGGCTTCTGCCCAGAAGAGACATTTAGCCCAGTGGTCCCTGAGCGGCTGTGGGTGGGTGGTACCAGAGGGGGGAAATGGTTTGTGTTGGCTTGGCCGTGGCTGTTCCCCGGCTCTTTGCGGCGTCATCTGTGGGGTGTTGTCCTAACAGGAAAGCCAGCTACTTTGTCCATGCAGAACTGATAATGAGTGAGCAATCTGCTTTCATGTGCCTCTAAGCCAAGCCCTAGACCTGTCTGTATATTGCTGCTTTTTTTTTTTTTCTTCTTGGGCATGCTCTTAGTCAAATATGCATCAGCAGATAAGTCCAATTAAACCCCTGAGTCTCTACTGAGCTGTCAGTGAAGAAAGTAAAATTCATCTTCCTGCAGAAATTTTCTACCATGATGAGCACATTATCAGGAAATAGAATTCAAATGATAGTGCAGTCCCTCCAGGCTGATGGGGAAAACTCTGGGCTTTTCAAGTGGGATGAGCCTTGTTATTGAGTCACCCAAACCGTAACCTTGATAAGAAGGCTCACAAGGGCTTCTACCCTTGTGACCTTAAACGTCTGCCACCCCAAGGTGCTTCTGTCTGTGGAAGCACTTCTGGTTTTTCTTTAAAAACAAAAATCCACAAAACCATCTTCAAAACCAACCCACTTTCAACTGTTGCAAAATACTTGAGTCTCACCTGACATTGACTGATTTCTACTGTATTTACCAACATGCAAGTGAACACGTGCGCCTCAGCATCTTGGGCAATGTTGGCACCTCAGAGGGAGAAGTGTGAGCAGAATTCAACTGTTTCACACTAGCTAGGTGTGCTGTATTCAAGGTTGTTGTATTCTTGGAGCGTCCTAATGATTGTGTGCATTCCCTAAATCCCTGTGACACTAAAGAGAAGAAAATGCTTAGCATGGTGTGGATTTTTCCATACAGCACTGCCTTGGACCAAGGGTGATGTCTGGCAGGTGTGATGCAGCAACAAGGGAAGGGAATTGTTAGGGCAGAACTACTTTAAAGCAGTGTATGCCCATGTAAATGACTGAAATGGCAAGGTCAGTTTGTGTAGTGTGGAGCTGTGTTCTCTGGTGAACTTGAGGGCAACAGGTGGTTTTCTTCTGCTTTGGAAGAAATCTGTATTTTGGTGTGTATTCGTTTTTTTAAGAGGACGTAAAATCTGCTGTAATGGTATTTTAAAATTAAATAAGAATTGAAACCTTCTAAGTTCATGAGGGGGGAGAAAGTATAGAAGTGAATACACAGCCTAAGGACAGTACTGAATTAAGAAAGTATGTTATTTAATTTTTGATCCTAAAAAGAGCTTTTGTTGCATATGTGGTAGTTCATTGTGGTGTTCTAGGTTGGTTTGTTGCTTGACGTTACAGTGATCTGTGATTACATGAAATAGGCTAAGCTTTGGGCTTCCCCTTGGAAATTAAATTTGTCAATATTTGGGTTGAACTTAAGGATAGAATCACTTGGGAGAGGTAAGGTGCTTTTCTGTTTGTTTCTCTTTATATCTCAAAATATTGTGAATTCCCCTTCCCCACTGAAGCAAATTCTCACCATTGGTGTTCCTGTAAGTAATTTATAGAATAAATATATATGTTCTTCATTTGTGTTGACCTGGGCAGCTAAGGTTTAGGGAGGGCTTTGAGATCTCCGTTAGCTCTTTGGTGAGAATTTCAAGCATTTTGGATTTTGTTGTAACTCATGTGGCAATGTTTACTTTGGCAGTTGACATCTGAGAATCACGTTTCTTGTTTTGGCGATACTTGTGACTTGACTTATGTATCTCCTATCCTACCATCTTCCAAATAAAGACTGAGCTGATTATATATATTTTTTAAATTAAGTAAAAAAAAAAGGAAGCCAAAAAAAGCCCATAGACAAACAAGCAGCAGCCTCTTTCTGTGCATAAGTAGTTAAACCTTCCCCTTTCCCTTCCTTCCCTTGGATCTTGGTGTATAAATCCAGCTCAGGTTTCATACAGGTTAAAGCTGTGGTGTGTGTAGTGGTGTTTTAGGGTTTTTTTAATACCCAGCCACTGAACACGACTTTGGAGTTGACCTGCGAACTCGGTTTGCTCTGAGCTGTTGGCTTGAGGTGGCCGGCGAGGTGGGCAGCTGCTGGAGAACCATCAGGAGATGGTGCTGCCCAGGAGGTGGTTCCCGTGCCAGGAGTCAGAAAAATGGGGGAATTTCTGCCAGCCTTCCGAAATGAATGGTATGTATGTGAGCATGTGTGTATATTCATTACGTTCAGATGAAGCTGCTAATTATTCTTGAAGGTGATTGGTGAATCAGAGCGAGAGAATCTAAATGAGTGAGTCGGTAGTTGAGGGCTCTCTCTGATCATAGCTGTTCCTTTCAAGTATGAAAAACAGCGCTAAAAGGGAACTTCATCAGAATGTTAATGAATGCGATCTTTGAGAGCAATTGTTCTCCCAAAGTAGCTGAAAAGACAAGGGGTTGTGTTTTTCTTTTTTGGCGGTTGTTTATATCATTTTTACAGATTCCAGCAAAGCTTTGGAGCTCTGAGTGGAAATTTCAACTTTCGTGATGTGTGTGTGTGTGTGGTTTTTTAGCGGTGTTTAACCTATTTATGGAACATACGGGAGAATCCCTGCTCAGATGTGAGTGATGTCTCGTGCAGAAGTGGATCCCCAAGCTGGAGAGAGCCAGACCTCGACTGGGTGCACGTGGTGGTGAGGTGGAGATGCTGCCCTTACGAGCTGAGTCAGGGCCCAGCAGTGCCTGGTCGCAGACCCTGAGGAGGTGAAAGCTTTGCCCACTCCTGCCTGTGCTCATCCCCAGGGGTCTGGCAGTTGCCAACTCGCAGTCCCCCGTTTCTCTGCCTGAGTGTGGCACAGTTTAGACAGCCTGTTGGTGACAGGAGACTCCTGGACAAAACCCGTAATTTCACCAGCTGTCATCTTGATAAGGCTGTTTCCACATGTATGCTGTGCACTGTCCTGTTACTGTTGCTCTGATCTCTCATTGATAAGAAAACCAGTGTATTTAGCTGCAGCTTCCTGCTCCAAAGGTTTTGTGCTAGTTCCACTGACCTAGCTATGTACCTTCTGATTTGTCATCATCTCTCTCTATATATATACACTGTGCAGCTTGGTTTTTTCTAAGCTATTCTTATATTTTAAAACATGTTGTTAGATGTTTAAGTATTTTTTTCTTTAAGTATTCTTTTCCTTCCACTTGATTGTCAGGTGATGCTGTACCAAGCTAGCGTTTCTGATGGCCAGTTATTCCTTTTAAAAAGTGCTTTTAACCTCAGGAAAGCTAATGATTTTCTGGATGATGCTCTAAAGGCTCTAAATGCCTTCTGGTTTTCCTGCAGGCTTGCTACTCTCCATTGATTTGTTCTCCTAGCTGTTGGTTTTTATTTTATTTTATTTTATTTTTTTGCATCTTGTCTGAAGCAGGTACTTAAGATATTTTTGTTGGAGGAATCAGAGGTGGTTAATGCAGAGCTGAAGCAGAGGGGTGAGCTCTGGAAAGCCTGAAGTATCTGCTGGGCCAGGAAGAGGGAGGAGCTCAGGGGTCACCCTCATCCCTACCTGAGGTCTCATTTTTAACTCAAACTGCACTTGACCAAGTGTATCTGGGTTTTTTGAAATACTTCTT